GTGGTGTGTGTGTGTGTGTGTGTGTGTGTGTGTGTGTGTGTGTGTGTGTGTGTGTGTGTGTGTGTGTTGTGTGTTGTGTGTGTTGTGTGTGTGTGTGTGTGTGTGTCCGCTAAGCCTCTGTGGGCGGCTTGCAGCTTCTTGACTGCATCAGGGGATTTACAGCTCTCAGCCAAAGTTAGTTTAACAGCAGCAAAACAACATGGTGGCTGTACAAAGAGTGAAATGTTCTCAGGTTCACCTGGAATTGGGACTTTTGCAATACTCAGCTATACTTATTTATAGAAATATATTCAAATATTTGACAATATTTTTGTCCTCAGGGTATTTTTTATTCCTTTTTAGTTCTGTGTTTATTTGTATTTTTTTTTTAGTTGTACAGCACTTTGACAACTTCTGTCGATTTCTGTTGATTTTTAATACTAAAATGATTGTACTATACCATTTAAAAGTTTGGGGTCAGTTTTTTATTTGTTTTAAAGAAATCATTACTTCTATTCAGCAAGGATGCATTTATTCAAAAGTAGTTAGAACAACAAAATTCTATTTAAAAAAAATGCTGTTCTTTTGAACTTTCATCTTGATTTTTGTTCATCAAAGAATCCTGAAAAAAAAGTGTCTTGGTTTCCACAAAAATATGAAGTAGCACAACTGTTTTAAAGTAGTCATCTGGGAGTGTATTTGCCAATATACAGTAGTCAACTTTTGAAGTGGATCAAAACCTTTTATTAAAGTTAACCTAAAACCAAATGCGTTCTTGTCTTAGGACAAATTTTATGAACTTTTTTTGATCCACTTCAAATGTTGACTACTGTATATTAGCAAATACACTCCCAGATGACTACTTTATTAAAACCAAGTTGACACATATTTGACAGCTGCCTTAAATACAGATAACTATAATTATTGTGATTAACAAATAACACCTAATTGTATCAATTAACAAATGAAAAACTATATTTGTCAGGTTTTAACAACAGTATAGCATGGCTACCACAGAGGATGGTTGCTAAACAAATCCCTATCCCTTTGGGGGAAAAAAGCATAAATCAATGAAAAAGGATGAATGTGCCACAGATCTAAAATGCAATGAGAAAAGGCAGGTGAGGTTAGTCTCTGTACACGTAACACAAGACTTATTGTCAGGATGCAGCAAAATCGATACCAACAATTCGTTTAGTATATTTTCTACTGCATGTTTGGTTTAATATCAGATTAGAAAAAAAGAAGAAACACTATAAAACAATAAAAAAAAGATTTACATTTTCCTAAATATCAGTTCTTGCAATGCAATAAAAGAGGAATGTAAAATGACAGTTAGAAATGTCGTCAACCCAAATATTGCTGGATAAATAAAGCCTTCTGTGCACAATGTGCTGTATTTGTAATATAAAGATAAATTAAACAGAAGCCAATTAAAACATGCAAATATTATGAATAGGCTGCGGGTTATATTTTGATTCCTTAATGTATCAATGTACGTTTAAACAGCAAACCTAAGACTGTTGGCTGAATTATTCACAGAAGTGTATTTTTGCTAAGATTCGTAAAAAAAAATAAATAAAAAAAACTCAAGAGCCCAAACAGCATTGTATTTTTATTTAACAAATCAACAGCTCTAAGCTCAAATAGCGATCTTCTTTTATTTAACAAATCAACATAGAAATATTGCATTGACAAGTAAACATGATCATTCTTAATTCCATAAACTGGTAGAAATACATTGTTTGAGTAACCTCTAGAATGATAAACTAAGGCAGGCATCCGATGCTAGCCCAGAGTGCCTCAGAAACACATGATCTACTGAAATTTACAAAACGACCATGGGCAAAACACCACTAAGTCAACCCAAATATGAATATGAATTTAAAATCCCCCCTCCCAAACCCACATCCATTCAACATCATCATCATCATCATCTATCATTCATTAAAGCATATTTACAGTGAGTGGTACTTGCACGAGTGCACAGAGAATCAGGACGTTGTTCTTCACTATAAATGGTTAAGTTCATGCAAATGCAACAATAACATCAATCAAATCTGAAATGAAATTAAATGCCAAACCTGTTAAAAAGACTTCAAAAAGAGGAAGAGAACAGAAAGCATACACTACTAAGTATAGATTAAGGCAACAGATTCCTGATACTGATACTGTTTTAGTGTCATGGAATTAAAGCTGCGCTAATCATCATCAACATCCCAACAAAAATCATATAAACCTACTAACTTACTCAGTCAAAACGAACAGAAACAAATTAAATGTTCACATTGTGCAAGGAAAAAAAAAATTGACATGGTATTTTACAACCTTCAGCACAGTGCAATTACAAAGAGTTTTGCCATAGAAAAAAAGCCCTTATAGTTCTATACATATGGCGTGGCTTTTTCTACTTTAATTTGCAGGAAATAAAGCATTGGATTCAACTAGTAGTTGATTAAAAAGGGAAGAGTCATTACTCCTCTCTAAGATACACATACCCAATTTATATATACATATATATATATAAGGACGGAAGAAAAGCTCTAAGAAAATAGGTTTAGCATTAAAAAAATTCTCTGTAATATAACCGTTCTCTGGTTTTCCACCACAGCGATCTACAGGATTACAGTAATTCACCTCTTACTGCTCAAGCTAATGTCACAGAAATACTGCTGGAGGAGACGCCGGCTCGCAGTGCCTCTCTGTGGCTTCTAACAGGAACTGCGGCACTTCTGCAACTACTGGACTGCAAAGTGCAATTCAAAAGTACTAAAGTGTCACAGGAACAGTAATAGATAGAACAAAAGTAGATCCTTAAAATTTCCCAAATGAAATTCAACACTCCAACTTCAAAATCAGTTTAGTAGCAGTTGGAAAAAAATAATCATGAATGTTTTGCTCCACTGAAAGCATGTCTGATATCAAGGATGATAAGTATTCCTCAACAAACCTCAGTGTAGTGTAATAGTGCACATACATAGTGTTCCAGCCAACAGAATGCTCACTTTTACTCTATATTTGTCTTTTTTTTTTGTGTCGAGTTCTTCCAACCCAGTTTTGTTTCTATTTTTTGATTTTTTTTTTAAAGCACAGTAAATTTATTCAGTATAAAATTCTGTACTGTGAAATTATTGCATAATCACATTTGCATAAGCTATCCTGGATGTTACTCATGGTTCATGTTTCTCTCCTGGCCTTTTTCTTCTGAACTTGCTTCGGTGGTTCCCAATTCTGATCAGATTTCTCTGTGGGAGCAAAAACAAAGGATTTTATTCAGCATGATTGTTATTAATTAATTATACTATTATCATATTATTATTATTATATACAGCAGGGTCACATGGGGGGGGGTAGATAGTGATATTCTGAAAGTTTCATCAAAATTATGCTGAAAATATTCTCTGTAATGGGAAAATGGTATTAAAATAAATGAAAAAAAAAAAAGTGCAAAATACAAGAATTTTTACTCAGTCAAATGAATTAGGTCACACATATACTATTGCTGTTAATCATTCTCACCAGGGTTATTATAGTTAACTAAAACTACAACCATAAAAAATATTTTCGTTATTCAAAATAAATGTTAACTGAAATAAAATGCAATATAAAAACCTTTAAACATTTTATTTCAGCAAGTTGATAGGACAACATTTCTCATTTTTCAATTAGTTTAACTCGAAGTACTAAAATAATTACAATTAAATTAAAATTAATAAATTACAGATAGATAGATAGATAAGATAGATAGGAGGGATTAAAGTTCCGTCGCTACGACGGATTTCCGTCAGTTCATAAAGATGGTCACTTGCTTCATTCCTGAATGATTCAGCCGTTCGAACGAATCAATTGAATGAATGATTCAGTGATCAAATCAGTGACTTGCTGCCACCTGCTGGCGGATTGTTTCTTTTTTAGCATATAATTTCAGTTATTTAAATCATATTTCTGTATTGAAAATTTTATATTTAAAACATTAATCTCCATATGAATTTATGAAATTGCACTCATGCTACCTCTGAGCCTCATTAAACGTCTGAAAATGTACCTACAAGCCACTTTTGTGTTCTTCTGTGC